ATTTGTCTATTTTGGCTTTTGCTGCCATTGTTTTTTGTGTTGTAGTCATGAAGTCCTTGCCTATGCCTATGTCCTGAATGGTTTTGTCTAGGTTTTCTTCTATGGTTTTTATGGTGTTAGGTCTTATGTTTAAATTTTAAATCCATCTGGAGTTCATTTTAATGTAAGGTGTAAGGAAGGGGTCCAGTTCAGCTTTCTGCACATGGCTAGCCAGTTTTTTCAACACCATTTATTGAACAGGGAGTCCTTTCTGCATTGTTTTTGTCAGGTTTGTCAAAGATCAGATGGTTGTAGATGCATGGTGCTATTTCCAATAATAACAGATGCCTTTTCTCTGTTCCATTGGTTATATCTCTGTTTTGGTACCAGTACAATGCTGTTTTGACTACTGTGGCCTTGTAGTATAGTTTGAAGTCAGGTAGCATAATGCTTCCAGCTTTGTTCTTTTTTCTTAGGATTGTCTTGTCTATGCAGGCTCTTTTGTGGTTCCATATGAAATTTCAGGTGTTTTTACTTTTTTGAGTTCTATGAAGATCAATGCTCAAGAAAATAAGAGAAGACACAAACAGATGGAAAAATATTCCATGCTCATGGTTAGGAGGAATCAACATCATGAAAACGGCCATACTGCCCAAAGTAATTTATAGATTCAATGCTATCACCATTAGGTTATCATTGACCTTCTTCAAAACATGCTCGACTTAAATAGCCATCATCTTTAACTTGTTTGAAAAGTAGTTAGCAGTGTGCTGGGACACCTTTTCAAGGTAAAGAAAAATAAATTATTGCAATTTTTACTTTATACACCAAAGTAATGCCAAAATTGGTGAGACTTTTGAATCCTGGAGGCAGTATATTGCACATCTAAGAATAATATTCTGGATCATATTTGGGGCGACACAAAAAATGTCCCTCCTTTTGAGTGGAGCCCTGCTCTGCAACAAATCTGGTGGCCAGGGAAACGACCCTTAAACATTCCGTTGGAGGTATTGGTGGTTGCAGGGAAAAAAAGGGGGATGTACAAGTCCCAGGAGAGCCACAATGCAAGCTGATGATTATATAGCACATTCTTGCCCCTCTAGCAAAAAATTAAAAGCCTTTTAAGAAACAGCTACTAAGCCCTGGTATAAACAAAAAGTCTCCTTATAGGACATCAAGTGCCCATGCAGCTGGTGCTATAAATTATGATCTATGGACTGTCAGATTCATTGAGTAATAAGATCTAGGTGGACAATAACAATCCATAGTATGCTGGAGTTGGCTTATCCAGCATCAAGCAAAGTAAGAACTGAGGGAAACAAAAATTACATATCCAGGAAGCCCAGTGATTCATGCCATATTCCATTGTTGTATCAAAGGCCTTCACTCAGCTCATACCTTTAACTATATTGCAGATCCTACCTCAACAGCTGAAGAAAGAGGAAAATGCCTGTGCCTAGTCTATGAATTAGTTGGCTTACATAGGAACTGCACTAAAGCTTTAATCAGAAATAATGTTGAAAGATATTAACAAGAGAAAATTTTCCTGATGGCCGTATCTTCAGAGAGTATACCTATTCATCCAGTTTTTGTGGGCCGTGTTTATAATATATGAACTCATAAACAGAGATAAATTCTTTAGCAAGTTGATCAGGGATCGGGAAGAGAAAAAAATGGAAAATTCGATATAAAGTTAAAGCTAGATGTATATGGATATACAGCATATGAACTAACCAACCGAATTAACAAATGATTACACCAGTTGATAACAGACTGTCATGTTCTGGCATGATTTACATGTGAAGAAAGTGGCCACAGTAGCAGAAGCAGGGGACTCACACTGATGCAAATTCATATCCCTTGTTACCAAGATAAGGCCTTCTACTGCTACTTCTAGATCTCTATTCTCCTAGCAACAGACACCAACACTATGCTTATGATGTGCCTCAACGTCTTGAGGAGGTCAGCGGTCCTCTTGATTTCAGTTTGACTACATTGGAACTCTTCAGTCTCCTGGAAACACTTGGTGTTTGTTTTGTTTAGAAAATTATTCTGCCTCAGGGCCTCAGCTGGCACTACCATCTAATGTTTTACAGAGAATTTGAACCATTACAATTGAATCCTACTTAACATCCTATTGGGCTAGCAAATGTACTTTATAGTAAATGGGATGCAGAAGTAAGCTTGTAAAATACTAGTCACTTCATGATATAACTTCTGGACTATCCAGACTATTCTGGCCTGATAGTTCATAGGGAAGATCTATTGAAAGCAGAACAGAAGTTCCAGTTCAAAGGCAATACTCTCCTGGTATGTAGTTCTGTCCTTTAGAATGCAGCATACTCAACAAATCAGAAAATTCTATATGTTGATGTTTTCCTAGTAAAAAATATATGCATACATGTCAAAAATGTACATATGTAAGTATATATGTGTAAGAAGTATATTCATATAGAAGAATTGAGGTGCTCAAGGTTCTAAATACAATAGGCTCAATATGAGATATATACTCTGTCATTAAATAAATGCTTTATTATTTATCTGAATCAATTTATTGTCCAAGTCAGGTTTTTCTGCATATCTGTAAAACAAGTCATTGTCCAAATAACTTTTTTCTGCTGCATTCCCAAATGATTCTCAAGAATAAACACTTCCTAGCTCCAAGGGGATGTTGTCTAATGGGAGACTTGTAATTTCTCAACTCCTCATTATGTCTGCCTAGGGATATAAGTGTGTTTCTCTCATATATCATAAAAATCATAACTGTAAAAATCTTGTGTCTGCAATTTGCCTTGAAAATATGATATAGTGGTATAATGCAGGGCATATAATCAGAACAGTGATTGGTCCAAATATGATTACATAGAGTTTAAAAATCAAAGCTCACAATACAGACTTCCTGTTTGGCATCTTATTTAGCTATTTTTCAATATTAGAAACATTTTAGGTATCCCAAAAGTCTAAATTCAATCATTAAAGCAGATATATATTGAATGCCTACTATGTTCTTAGCATTATATAAACATAATTCTGACTTATAGCCAATAGAAAAGTGTATACTTATTCTACTGTAATTTCTAAATAGTGTTAATAGTAAATGTTCCATTTTGTAACTAGTTCAGAGGGAAAAAAATCATTAAATTTAGAGAATGAATTTTCTAGGGCCCAGTAGAGGACATCTAAATTTAAAATTAAAATTATCTTCAAAATGACCATATTCAGTTTTTTAACTTTATAAGTTACATTTTATTTTGCTTCCCAGAGTCTTTCAATAGTCTACAACATAGAGTTTTCTTTTAGAGTCAATGATTACTTCCTCTGCTCTTATTAAACTAAAGCAAAAGTACCCACTTATATTTGTTCTTTTTGCTTCAACGGGCTACTGCCCAGGGCCTCTTTATTCTCCAAAGATTATTCCATTTTTACTACAGTGACTTGTTCAAAATAAATCATTCATAAGAATCACTTTATTTCCTTTTCAGGCAATAAGGTAGAAATTTCACTAGAGTAGACAAAATCACTTTTTTTCCTGATTCCTTAAATTCAAATGCTAGGCTCCATAGGTTCCTCTATCACAGAATCATTGGTTTAGAAAGGATGCTTTCTTTGGCGTGGCACTAAGCACGGAAATAAAGTCTTTCTATGGGGTTGTCATGGTAACATGCATGCATCACCTGTCCTGCTCACATTTAAAATTTGTACCCTGATATCTTCCATATAAATATTTGTTTTAAAAACTTCAAATAACCTGTACTACATTTTGGTATATTTTAATGAAGTTCATATTGCAATTAAATTTAATTATTAAATTAACTATTTATAAATATGTATGCATAAATATACTGTGCTTATAGAAACAGGTGTAAAAAATGTTAGCGATTTATAGCACTGTGTAATTTGGCAATAGGCAAAATTCTAAAACTATGTATGGTTGATCAGTTTAATTTACTCCTTTTATGGTAAATTTATTCACATAAAGTTCGTAGAAACAGTGAGTTATGCTGAAAGAGCTTGCTTAAGAGTGAATCAGGGCAATCTTGTTGTTACTGCTACAGCTGCTTCTACTTCAATCACACATTATACTATAAATATACAGTTTAATGAATGGTTATTGTGTGTCATGTCCTATCCTAAGCACTTAACATACTTGTGCTTGTTTTATCATTAACAAGATCACTCGAATTTACAAAGAAAAATATATTTTATAAAGAAAAAAATATGGAGGCTTAAATGTTTAAGCTCCTGCCCAATGTCACACTGAAAATCTGGAATTCAAAAATAGCCTTAACTGCAAAAACTATATTTTCAACTTTGTGCTATACTTCCTTTTCGAAAAAATTATTATAGAAACTCATTGGAAAAAAAATGCAAGAATTGAGTTAGGCACCAGGAAGTGCAGACCTCTCAGAAATGCTGTTAAAAAAAATGGTGTGAAAGAAAATGCCACATCCAATTCAAGAAGCTGTACCCAGAGTATTTAATCGGGTCTTATTTTTAATTAACTACTTGTAAGCATTGTGATAAACAATTACAGAGTAGCAGTAAAACTGTATACTGGGAACTGTTCTGTGCTAAATAACATTATGTTAGTGTCTCCTTGAAAACAATATATAATTATGCCCAGCATTCAAAAAGTATATGTGTTATAAAGCCATCTTGTACCTGAAACTCATTCTGCCACAATCTGACCCTTTCAGTCAAAAGAGACTTTTTGCCCTGCTTCATCTCTCTCTGAAAGATTTATCACCTTCTAACATACATATTTCCTGCAGCAAATACTGCCATGTTCTGTCCAATCCCACTTTAGGACAAATATATCCACTAGCTGCTAGAAAATTTTGCCACAGATGGATTATAGTTTCAAAACTCAATTGGAATTGCTTTGGTCAAAGGGATAGACCTAGCCCAAAGTTGCATTTTCACCCTGCAGTGAACCAGTTTTCCATGATGCAGAAATTCAAAGCAGCAGCCTTGCTTTAATTTGGGACAACCTATAAAGGCCACCATAGCTCCCAAGCTACCTGTATGATTCTGTAATGTCTCATGTGCAATCACGTTACTGGTTAGCTTCTTGCTCTTCCCAATCCAGTCTCCTTCACTTCCTCAAAGATTATCTTCCAGAGACTTCTCAGTAAACTTCTTCATGGAATACTTAATCTTAGTATGGGAATTTCTTCAATTAATGTAGACATGGAGAAGAAAAAATATAATCAGCTATTATTCCTAATTTATGTCTTTTATATTCAGTCTGAGAGTAAATATTTCTGTTTTCCCACTTTTCACTAGGTTTGATATTGTTATATATATATATATATTTATTTATTTATTTTATGATACTAAGAATACGTTGATGGGTGCAGTACCTCATGCCTGTAATCTCAGCACTTTGGGAGGCCAAGGCTGGTGGATCATGAGGTCAGGAGTTCAAGATCAGCCTGGCCAGCATGGAAAACCCTTCTATACTAAAAATACAAAAAATAGCCAGGCATGATGGCACACACCTGTAACCCCAGCTATGCAAAGTGAAATGAGCCAGGCAGAGAAGCACAAATACTGCCTTATTTCACTCATTTGTCAAATTATAAAAAGATAATCTGGTAGTTAGTAGACAGTAGTACAGAGGTTCCATTAGCTGGGGTGGGTTGGGCTTAGGAGTTAGAGAGATATTTATCAAAGGATACAAATTTTCAGTTAAAATATATTATTAAATAGAGTCACTCAGTTGTCCAGTGGATCTCTTGATCTTATTTTTCTAACTGAAAATTTGTATTCTTGAAAAATGAAAAAAAAAGAAAGAGACAATATCAATGAATAAATATGTAATGTTAATGTTTCACCCAAAATTACCTTAAGTCCTGTGATTTCATGGGCCCTACTGTCCTAATTTATCTCTTATCCAAAGTAGATTTTGTGTTAAGCTTCCATTATTTAAAGTTCTTATGATGAAAAGATGTTCAATTATCCTAGAATTGCATTTGTCCTACTCTAAACATCTAATTATCAGTGCCAGCAAAGGCAACCAAATTGTAAACTTTGACACCAAAAGCTCAATTAAAAGAATTTAATAGGCCCCATTTCAATAGTTCATATTACATTTATATTACCATGTAGAATTGGTTTCACATGTTCTAGTTTTCCCAATGCATTATGTTTATCACTATTATTTTTTGTACTTTTACAAATAATATCTAAACATTTGGTCCTAAATACAGAAAAATATATACATAAAATTAACAAAATAATAGTAATTTATAACTGTAAATGTTTTTGAGAGATCTAAATTATTACCTATGCTAAATTATGCCATGCTTTATTTTTAGTTCTGTGTTAATTTTATAGTAACCACAGAGAAGAAACATAGATGTACCTATGGTTAATTTTATAAGAGATAAGATGCTTTTCAGGTATGAGACAGTTTTGACAAAATAGCAATCAGTTTTTAATTGGGGTCTTTCATGGACTTTTGTTAAACATGGTGAAAAAATATTTTATGAACCCTTCTCTCAACCCAAATAACAAAGTTAAATTTATTAATAACTGCTGCTGATCGTTATCGGTGGCAGGGCAATACTAGACTTGAAATTAACACCTTAATTTAGGCAGGAAAGAAAATGCTACTTGAAGACTCTGTTTTGTGATATTTCCACAGCATTCTGCTATCGCTTACACAAGGTACTTTGGGTCTTTTCAGAAAATGAAACTTTCTCAATGCTTTCCTGTCAGTGAAATTCAACTGATTTTTCTACAACCTTCACTCAGCAATCTAGAGGTTCCTCACAAAACAAACAAACAAAAAACTTGTCTCACTTTTCACATGTTAGATTTCCACTGTTTCAGGGTAGCTCAGGATACTGCTTGCTTTTGCAGGTTTTTCAGACTTCTCTTTATCAATGTATTTACTTTTTAACACATTTCTGAAGCAAATCAATGACTGTGCCAAGGACTAAAGAAGAATCAGGCCCCTCCCAGGGCCTTAGGCCCAACAAGTCTTTTTGCAAGTCTGCCTTATCTGGTGCTCCAGGAGTCAGAAATACTGATAACTCACTGATGCTTTCCCTCACTTAATGACTTGTTCTTTGCCCAGTATTGCCAGTTTAACAGTCCCCCACTACTTTTAAATCCTTTGCTAGAGGAAGATAGGCACCGAAAGTCCCAGGGATATTTCTTGACCTGATCTTTCTTCTTTCCTAGATTAGATCTCTCTCTCTCCTCCTGTACTCTGCACACTGTAAGTCTTAGCTCTATTGTCTTTCTGCTTTGTAAACTGTTGAGTGTAACTCCGACTAAGGCTCAAATTGATCTTTAGAACTTCTGCCACCTTTGGATCTGAGTTGTCTTCTTCCTAATCTTAAAGAACACAGTTTCAAACACAGTTTTTTTTTAATCAAATCCCCAATCCAACCTGAAGTTTCTGTTTCAATTTCTGCTGGAAAAAGATGAGAATTTCTCAAAACTGTGGGACCACCAAATATGGGTGTCCCAGGAACTGTCATGGTACTGGTAATTGTGGGATTTTGTATGTTGGTAAGTGTATAGATGTCATAGGTGAAACCTAGGTCAAATCCAGTGCAATCTTGGGTCCAGCCAATCTTAGCCAGCTTATTCTACACCCTGGTTTTTCAGGGACTTATCAGTCCCTAGCCTATGCAGCTATTTCATAGTTTCCTTTTGCTAGACATGTAAAACTGCCACCTGAAATTTTCTATTCTCCTGCAACCACCCTGTGTTATTCCCATCTCATGGAGAGTGTGTTAGTTTGATGTAGCCCCACTTGTTTAGTTTTGTTGCTAGTGCTTTTGATGCCATGTCAAAATAAATAAGCAGTGCAAAGACCAATATTGCAAGCTTTCCCACTACATTTTATTTGCATTTAAATATTTAATCTATTTTGAATTAATTTTTGTATGTGATGAAAGGTAAGGGTTCAATTTTATTGTTTTGCATGTGAATGTTCAGTTTTCCCAATCCCATTCATTGAAGACATGTATTATCCTTCTGCACATAATAATAAAAAATATGTATATATGTCCCTCTTTAAATGTTGCTTATACTGATGTTTTGTGGGAATAATATTTAGACTTTGAGTTGATATTCTTTAGAGTAGTTTCGCAGTTAGTTCTAAAGTTGAAAAATGATTTTCCCATATAAAATGCTCACTTTATCCACTTTAAAATTTTTTATTTATTTTATTGGTTTATTTTTAGAAAAAATAACTTTTAAATATAGCAAGTACTTCTTATGTGTTTTGTTTGTTATCCAATTCTTTTATCTCCAAATGACAACTAACCCAACATTTTAAATTGACAGATACTTCATTTTAATTTAAAACTGTGTTGCACACAAAATATTCACATTTATGTATACATATTTTACTTGAAACTTAATGGTATTGATTCTGATTTATTTTGCTTATTTTAATTACTGCATATTACTCTTGAATTACATATCTTTTAATTTTTCACATTTATTTTAAATAGTCTATCTTTACCTATATGATAGCTAGTAAAAAGTATCCTTCTAATATATTTTTTTCAAAACATCTTCAGGTTTAATCCAAAAATAGTTCTATAAAGAGGATGTTTTATTAAGGTTGAATTTATTGACCATTTATTTTAATAAAACATTGAAAAATGCTTTATATTGTTAGCTGCATGTTCTGAAAGAATTTTAGAAAACTGTACCATACTCAAATATTTTAAAATCTCAGTAATATGTTATTCATGATTAAGAGTTCATCTACCTAAGTCCCATTAATGCAGCTTCATTTTGCAAAGAGTGAGATACCAATAGATCAATAAATGTCTTGATTACATGACTTTATTACAAATAAATATGTTAACAGAATATATTGTGGACTGGTCTAGACACATTTACCTTGATGTATTCTCTTTGAGAAAGGGAAAGAGGGAAGATATTTTGAACAGATAGTAATATTTAGTAATCATTTGGCAAAAATTTGCCAGAAGGTATACTGTTTTTTAGTGTACTTCATAAATGTCTAAAACTATATTATTGTTTTTCTTAGTTTTATAAATAATTCAATTAAAAAGTACCAGAACAATGAGTTCAAGCCACCTCTGAATAGTTTCAGAGTTAAAGTTCTTGCAAATATAGGAATGTAGAAAAAATTTTGGATTCTGAATTACATATAATTTCCATTGTCTTATTTAGACCACAAAACAACTTGAAATGAGAACTGATAATTTTATAATATTTGAATATTAAAATTAGCAATAATTCTATCTCCTTGATATTTATCTCTAATTAACATAAGTAGCCAACATTTTATTATCAGATTTCCTTCACAGATCTTCTTACTATTATTTAATTTTGAATAAAAAAGGATTTAGGCCTCTAATATTTTTCACCTGAGTCTACCTTAAAAAATGTTCCTTCCTGCCATTCTGGGTCTTATTGCTTTCTAACATGACTAGCATTGTTTCAATAAATTAATATTCAGTAAAGTAGCTAAGGTTGAAATACGAGTACAGACATTGGATGAAAGTTATTTCTTGGCCGGGCACGGTGGCTCACACCTATAATCCCAGCACTTTGGGAGGACGAGACGGGTGGATCACAAGGTCAAGAGATCGAGACCATCCTGCTCAACAAGGAGAAACCCTGTCTCTACTAAAAATACAAAAATTAGCTGGGCATGGTAGTGCGCGCCTGCAGTCCCAGCTATTCGGGAGGCTGAGGCAGGAGAATTGCTTGAACCCAGGAGGCAGAGGTTGTGATGAGCCGAGATCGTGCCATTGCACTCCAGTCTGGGTAACAACAGTGAAACTCCCTCTCAAAAAAAAAAAAAAGTTATTTCTTATTTTGAATTATTAACTAACTGATTACCTATTAAGCCTGTGGCTCTAGATCACAAAAGATAAGAGGAGACACTTTGAGGTCAGAGTATCTGGGTTTAAATCTCAGCTTTTTAGGTACTAGTTGTTGACAGTCAGCATGTTCTCCAACTTTTCTAAATGTTAATTACTTTTTGTGAATTAGCAGAATAAATATTAACTTCCTTGTGTGGTGTGGCGATTAAATGCGAACATATGTGGTGTGCATTCCACATAATTAGAAATGAGTAAATTTGAGCCATGACTAGTAGTAAATAGGTACCATAATCTTAAGTGTGCAATGATGCAGAGGCAGCATCACTCTCTACTTTTCCCAAAGCAGAGCAAAACAGTATTCAAATAAGGTTGCTGATTGAATAGAGTTGCAAAATTTGAGCAAAACAGTGTGTGTGTGTGTGTGTGTGTGTGTGTGTGTGTGTGTGTGTGTGTATCTCAAGGAACAAAAAACCCACCAAAATTAAGAGATTCAGAAAAAAAAAAGATTCCGAATATATATCAAAAATGCTTCCACAAATTTGTGTGTCAACATATCTTCAGTCACTGTGACATTTAAAAATCTAAAACAACTATTTAGAAACAGAAGGTGAAAAGACTGGAGTCATTTGATGTTTAAAGCAAATAAATCATATCTGAATATTGCATCTTGGTCAGCCTCAATGGTTCACATCTTCTAGCCCAGCAATTTGGGAAGCTGAGACAGGAGGATCCCTTGAGGCCCAGAGTTTGAGACCAGGCCAGGCAATTCATGAAACCCTGTTTCAATAGAAAATTAAAAAAAAAAAAATTCTGTGATGGAGCACATCTGTATTCCCAGCTTCTTGAGAGGCTGAGGTAGGAGAATTGCTTGAGCCCAGGACATCAAGGCTACAGTGATCCATGATCCTCTCATTGCACTCTAACCTGGGCAACAGAGTGAGACCTTGGATCAAAATGAATAAATAAATAAACTTCACATGTATTCATTTTCTGTCACTTCTAATAAATTTAGAAATGTATTGTACAATGTGCAATTTGAACAATTTTAAGTTATAGATTTAGATTTATTGGAATCCTCCCAGAGATATTTCATTAGGTATTGCTCTGGTTGTCCCCCAAATATCGGCATTTTAATATCTTAACAAAATAACTTTTTAGAATTCAATCATCTATAAATAAAACTTATTCTATAAATCACCTATAAGTAAAATTCTCTATAAATAAAACTTACTGTTAAACTTGGTTTTCTTAGGTGTACAGAGGCAGAGGGTTAAAGATAGTGAGGTAATGAGGTTTATTTAATTAAGTACGGAGTAAAGTTACCCCAGTTACTTTTAGTGTCTGCACTTTATTAAAATTTCTACTGGATTTCCAACTACCCTTTTTGAGTCATTTATTAGGACTTCTACAAAGTAAAGTGCTCAAATCCACATTGAATCACAAACAAACTGTAGCTTGACTATCTGAAAATATGTGTGATGTTTTTATTTATTTTCATCTTCCTATTTAAAAACTAAATAAAAATACAATAGTAAAAAAATACAATCATGCAAACATGAGGCGGTAAACATACTCAAGTAAAACCGCCTGGAATATATAAAACTAATCTCTAGTTCTAAAAAAAAACCTAGAAAACCATTTTATGTTGACTATTATTATAGGTTAAATAAATGTCTTTCTCCATATTCCTTCTAAGCTAATGAAAAATTGGGAAGAAGCCTAGAAGCATCAGGTGGTACAAAGTCAGGAGGATAACAATGCTCTGTGCGATCAAGCTCAATTACAGAGAAGCAGCAAGGAGCTTTGCAGAGAGAACTTAGGTGAAAGATAAAAGATTCCAGACAGCTAAGCATGAAGGTTGGTAAAAAGGGCATCAGCAGGAGGGAAAATGTCACTGCTCCAAACAGTGGCTTACCTAATGCTTAGGCAATAAACAAGTTAGTTTAGTCAGAAATTGCAGCAATGGAAGGAACAAAGAATAAATATCCTTCTTGTGGTAAAATCTGTGAAAATGTATCAACAAGCTACATATATCTATGTGTGTGTGTGTGTGTGTGTCTGTGTATATATATGTATATACAGTTATATGTGGTGGCTTATATATTTTACATATGTGTATATGTATAATATTTATATTTTACATATACGTATATGTAAAATATATAAACCACCATATATAAATGTACATAATTTTTTAAATTAGAAAGAAAATTACAGAAAATACTTCTATTCACATCCCTAGAATAACATATACATGTTATTGTTATGTATTAAATCATAATCATCATCAAAACGATATGTAATGATTATCTTCCTAGTATTTTAATTCCTTCAAAGATAAGTTTATTATGAATACATTGAGTGTGATTGTTACATAACTTTATAGTATATTATGAATTGTCCAGGACTACATGGCCTTTTTACATTGAAAGTCTTGATATGTAAAACTTAGGTATATTTTCTGCAACAAACATCCATGTTCTCTCTCATTTGTGAGATCTAAGTTAAACAACTAACCTAATAGAGAGTAGAAATGTGGTTATCAGAGGCTGGGAAAGGCAGGGGGTGCTGGTGGGGAATTTGGGGATGGTTAATGGGTATCAAAAAGATAGAAAAAATGAATAAGACCTACTATTTTACAGCATCACAGTGTGGGTACAGTCAATAATGTAATCCTAAATTTTTTTAATTACTTAAAGAGTGTAATTGGATTGTCTGTAACTCAAAGGATAAATACTTGAGGGGATAAATAACTCATTCTCCATGATGTGCTTATTTCACATTGCGTTACTGTATCAAAACATCTCATATACCTCATATATGTATGTATATGTGTATAAAATGTTGTGGGTACATAGTAGATGTGTATGAGTATGTATGTATATGTATGTTCATACACACCTACTATGTACCCATAAAATTTTTTAAATTAAATTAAAAATTCCCTTATTAAAATTTCTCAAAGCTTTATTAACCCAATACTATTAATTGTTATTCAGATTAACTGGGAATTACCTTCCCTGTGGACACAAAGTGATTCTAGTCACGACTTACAGGTTTCGGTGTGGATACCTGGCAGAAATGGAAAGTAGAATGTACATAATATGTATTACTCTGTTAGTTTAAAGAATATAAATAATTATAATTTTAATCTTATAGCTTATATCATTCTTTACTGTATTTCTACTATTAATTATATTGCTATTATTTCCACTGTAATCTTAGTTTTATTTTTACTTTAAGTATTTTGTTATTTGAAATTAGAACATACTGCTTGTCTGTGTTTTCAACCTAAGTAAAAATAAAAATGGTGTGATTTAAACAATAGAATGGAAAAAAGTTATTACTGAGGGAACAATCATAATGTAAACAAAACACAATATAAGTGTGAATAAGTATTAAAAGTCAAGTCTAACTGAAACACAGGAAAATCAGAGGAAGACTCATATAATTTGAGACTATTGTAAAGGCAAACTTGAAGCGAGTTTTAGATAGCAATAAATTAAAAAAGAAACTTAACTAGAGAAATTAATCACAGCCTAAAAGATGAACTTTTTATCAAAAGGGATTTGTATTTATAAAAGCTCAAGCAAAATGTAGATGTGTGCAAATCCATACAAAGTTTCTGTAGATTTTCTACATCTCAACGAAATCAAATATAATAAAAGTATTTTCTATGCTGTTTTTCTTATTGTATTATAAACCACTTTTTGTTTGAAAATAGCAGTCATACTATTATTTGCCTTAAGTTTGCATTTAATTATTAAAATTAAAATTACTTTTGAAATAAAATTATAAAGCAAACAAAAATATTTTTATTTTTATTCATATTTTTTTTATAAAAAATTGTTTCTATTGTTTGGTTAATATGTTGACCAGAAATACACTTTGATTCTGTTTATTACTATTTAGTGATCCCAATCACAATCATGGCCAAATGATGATTCTTTTGTTTTATGATTCTTCACTTGTTTTTTACTTTATTCAAAGACCATTTCACTCTATTTCTTTAGGGTTTTTAAAATTTTGACATAATAGTTTATAAAAAAGAACTAATTTAGACTGGTTCAAATAATGAACATTGGTATAAATATACATATGATGAAAGACATAAAGCCAAGAAAATTAAATAAAAAATGTTAAGTCAGAGGACTTACACCTAGGACCACTGGCAATGTTAACAACCTGAAAAGGAATCACTATACTGTTAATCTTGATTCAATTAGTCTCCATATACTTGTTATTTTCTGCTTCTCTCCTGCCTGCATCTTTTATCATTTACTTGTCGCCTCAGTCTCTATGGCTTTTGTTTGCGTAGTATTCTCTTCTTTCTAGACATAGACCTTCAGGAACCCTACTCAATTTCATGAACCTTCAATTAACTTTCTGTTTCTGACAAGTCGTATTATCTTTGTATTTTCCCAAATTGCAATTTAAATGTATTATTATAGGAATGTAAATATTATTACTCTTTACACAGAATTTTTTTTCTAAAAAGGTTTATTCACAACTTAAAATTTTAATCACTGCAGGAATACTAACTGACTGCTTGCAGTGGAGCTAACAGCACCTAGACTGTTCATGCCTCAGGAAGAGCAATGGTGATGCTGAGAGTTTCCTGCCGAATTGTGGAGACTGCACTGTGATGGCAGGTATGAAGCACTGCAGCTAGCTCCCTATCAATCATCTTTCCCCTCTGAAACTAAGGATGAATCTATATGAAATTATATCAAGAAAATGCCTTTATTAAAAGACCAATACAAAATGCACATATCATTAGCATCATTAAGTTTTTTATTTTATTTCCTGATTTTTATATTTATTTTCTTTTGTTCTATTTTTTATTTTTTAATATTTTATTTTATATTTTGTTTGGTGATCATTCTTCAGCAGTTAGAATATTTTATGATTTTTGTATTGTATGATGAATTAATATATGTATATATTTTTCCTAAAACTTGATTTAAAAATTTTTTTTTCTGACATGTGTCTAATTTCATATTCCTTTTTTTAAAGGCCTTACTGGACATGTTAAATTTATATGATCCTCATTATTAGAATCTTTTTCATTTTCTAGTTTTAAATTTCTCATTTTATCTGCATGCATAAACAATTATTTACTAGTTGTGTATTTTTCGTTTTACATTGTAGTACTAATATATGCCTTGTTTAAAAAACATTTTATCTCCATTGTTTATAAACTTTATTTTATATCTGCTAAAGTTAACTTTTCATTCATTTTTAATGTCTTCTCATAATCTTTTATGTTCTTCATTTAGTTTTATATTCTTAATAAATTTCCTTATTTTATGCTTTTCTTTCTTTTTCTCTTCTTGAATGTGATTTCTTATATTTTATACTGATAAGTAAAAGCATGTCTACCATAAAAATATAAAAGACAGTCTGAAATTCAATTAAGTTATAATCAAAATCCCAAGTTTTGTGTACATGAGCAATATGTTTCAAAAATGCATGTGTAAAGATAAAAGGAACAAAAATTACAGAATAATTTGAGTAAGAAATGTAAGTATGGGCATTCACACAAATAGCAAGAAATATATTAAAACATTAGATAAAGCATTGGATATCTTGATAACTCTTAAAGATCATGACAGTGAGCTTGGGGTTTATCTCAGTTGTCATGAGACAACTTTGCAAAGGTTTTTGTAAATGAATCACATGATCTGCATGGCATAAAAAATATTACTCTGGTATCAGGATGATGCTGGCCTCATGGAATAAGTTAGGAAGAAATTCCTCCTCCTCAGTTCTTTGGATTATTTTCAGTTGGAATGGTACCAGCTCTTCTTTTTATTTGGTAGGCTATTTATTACTGATTCAAACTCAGAGCTTGTTATCGGTCTGTTCAGAGATTCAATTTCTCATTAGTTCCATCTTGGGAGAACATATGTGTCCAACAATTTACTCATTTCTTCTAGATTTTACAATTCATATGCATAGAGGTGTTCATAATATTTTCTGATCATTATTTGTATTTCTGTGAGATCAGTGGTAATATCTCCCAGTTGTTTCTGATTGTGTTTCTTTGGATCACATCTCTTTTCTTCTTTATTAGTTTAGCTAGAAGTTTATCTAACTTGTTAATTAAAAAAAACAGTTCCTTGATTTATTCCTCTTTTGAATGGTTTTTCATGTGTCCGTCTCCTTCAGTTCAGCTCTGATTTTGACTATTTTCTGATAGAGGTACAACAACAACAAAAAACTTCAGGCCAATTTTGCATTGATAACCACCAATGCAAAAGCCCTCAAAAAAAATGATGGCAAGCAGAATCCAGCAAAAGAGCAAAAAGCTTATCCACTATGATAAAGTAGGCTTTATTAAGTAGTATGCAAGGTTGGTTCGACATAAATCAATATATGTAATTCATCACATAAACAGAACTAAAGAAAAAATCGCATTATCTCAATAGATTCAGAAAAGGCATTTGATAAAATTTAACACCCATTCATGTTAAAAAACTAGGTATTGAAAGAACATACTTCAAAATAATAAGAGGCATCTATGACAAACCCACAGCCCACGTCATACTGAATGGGTAAAAGCTCAAACCCTCTCTTGAAAACTGGCACAAAATAAGGATGCCCTCTCCCACCACTCCTATTCAACATAGTATTGGAAGTCCTGGCCAGAGCAATTAGGCAAGGCAAAGTAATAAAAAGTATCCACATAGGAAGAGAGGAAGTCAAATTATCCCTGTTTGAAGATGACATGATTCTATATCTAGAAAATCCCATAGCCTCAGCCCAAATGCTCCTTAAGTTGATAAAGAACTTCAGCAAAGTCTCAGGATACAAAATCAATGTACAAAAATTATTATCACTCCTATACACCAACAGCAGCCAAGTCAAGAGCCAAATCATGAACACAACCCCAGTCACAATTGCCATGAAATAAAATACCTAGAAACGCAGCTAACAAGAGCGGTAAAAAATCTCTACAGGTCAGACTATGAAACACTGCTCAAAGGAATCAGAGATAACACAAATACACACACAGAAAAATTTCACGCTCATGGATAAGAAGAATCAATATAATTAAAATGGACATAAAGCCCAAACAATTTATAGATTCAATGCTGTTCATATTAAACTATCATTCAGAGTCTTCACAGATGTAGAAAATCTATTTTAAAATATGTATGGAACCAAATAAGAGCCTGAATAGCCCACGGAATCCCAAGCAAACAAAACAAAGCTGGGGGTATTCATGCTACTCAATTTCAAACTATGCTATAGGGCTACAGTAACCAAGACAGCATTGTACCAGCCCTAAAACAGAAACATGGAACAATGGGACAGAATAAAGAACCCATAAATAAGGTCACACACCTAGAATGATTTAATCGTTGACCAAGTTGACTGAAATAAGCAACGGGGAATGGACTCGCTGCTCAGTAAATGGTGCTGGAATAACTAGGTAGTCATATGAAGCAGATTGAAACAGATCCCTTTCCTGCATCATATACAAAAATTAAGTCATGATGGATTAAAGACTTAAACATAAACTCCAAAATTATATAAACTTTGGAAGACAACCTAGGCAATGCTATTCTGGACATAGGAATGGGCAACAATTTCATGATGAAGTTGTCAAAAGCATGAAAGTCTAATATACAACATCTGTAAGAAGCTTAAACAAATTTACAAGGAAAAAAGATAATAACCTTAAAAAGTGGGCAAAGGGCTGGGCAAAATGGCTCATGCCTGTAATCCAAGGCAGGCAGATCACCTGAGGTCAGGAGATCAAGACCATCCTGGCCTGCATTGAGAAATCCCCTCTCTGCTAAAAGTACAAAAATTAGACGGGATTGGTGGTGGGCCCTTTAATCCCAGCTGCTGGGGAGGCTGTGGCAGGAGAATCACTTGAACCCATAGAAATGCATCTATGGGTTGCAGTGAGCTAAGACTGCACCAATGTACTCAAGCCTGGATGACAACAGTGAGACTCTATATTATTAATTAATTAATTAAAGGGGACAAAGGAGCAAAAGACTCAGAAACTTGTTCATAAAAGACATACATACAGCCAAGCGTCATAAGAAAAACAGCTCA